TTGTTTGTATATGCTTCGAGATTGCATACACCAAAAATTGAAAAAAAACAAACATTCAGTGATCAAGTAACAGGACAAAACTTTTCGACGGTTATAAACGAAAAATCACAATTTAACGGTTATTTTAACTCCGATTTTGATGATTTTTTTACAGCTACACTCCTTGACCCTATATGAATACAATGAATGAATTCGATCTTCAATTTAAAATATTTACACTAGTGGATACCACAAAATCTTATGTTATACTTGATGAAAGTATGAATAAACTCTTAAGTATTAGTGAATCTATTGTTTTGATGGGATACGCATTTTATGAAACTATTTTCAACGATCCAACCGTCAAACTTGTTTGTATATGCTTCGAGATCGCATACGCCAAAAATTGCAAAAGAAAAACATTCAGAGATTAAGTAACAGGACAAAACTTTTCGACGGTTATAAACGAAAAATCACGATTTAATGGTTATTTTAACTCCGATTTTGATGATTTTTTACAGCTACACTCATTGACTCTATATGAATACAATGAATGAATTCGATCTTCAATTTAAAATATTTACACTAGTGGATACCACAAAATCTGATGTTATACTTGATGAAAGTATGAATGAACTCTTAAGTGTTAGTGAATCTATTGTTTTGATGGGATACGCATTTTACGAAATTAGTTTCAACGATCGAACCGTCAAACATGTTTGTATATACTTCGAGATTGCATATGCCAAAAATTGCAAAAAACAAACATTCAGAGATCAAGTAACGAGACAAAACTTTTCGACGGTTATAAACGAAAAATCACAATTTAACGGTTATTTTAACTCCGATTTTGATGATTTTGTATAACTACACTCCTTGACCCTATATGAATACAATGAATGAATTCGATCTTTAATTTAAAATATTTACACTAGTGGATATCACAAAATCTTATATTATACTTAATGAAAGTAAGAATAAACTCTTAAGTGTTAGTGAATCTATTGTTTTGATGGGATACGCATTCTACGAAATTAGTTTCAACGATCTAACCGTCAAACTTGTTTGTATATGTTTCGAGATTGCATACGCCAAAAATTGCAAAAAACAAACATTTAAAGATTAAGTAACGGGACAAAACATTTCGACGGTTATAAACGAAAAATCACAATTTAACGGTTATTTTAACTCCGATTTAGATGATTTTTTACAACTAGACTCCTTGAACCTATATGAATACAATGAATGAATTCGATCTTCAATTTAAAATATTTACATTAGTACTTAATGAAAGTACACACTAGTGGGTCACTTTCATTAAGCTTTGAGTTCCATTGGCAAGGTTTAAACTTTTGAGAAAGAGTTCACAACCTTGAAAACAAAAAAGCTTTCATTTTGCATATCCTTGCACATTTAATATTTGTAATAGATTAGTAGTGTATGAATGTATTTTTTATGAAACTCTTATTTTCGAGTGTAGATATAGTACTTAAACGACAAATATGTTTTAATGTTTTGAAGTAATATTTATGTGACAATGTGTGGTATGTGCAAATTTAAGAAAAAAAAATATTTTTCTTAACGGGTCATAACGGTTCGGGTCACTTTACCCGTTGGGTAAAGTGACCCGACCTGTTAAGGACCCGTTAAGATAACAGGTGTGACACGACACGACCCGTTAAGATAACATGTGTGACAGGAAAACGACACGAACACGACTGACACGATCCGTTTGCCAGGCCTATTCAAAGACGCTGATTACGATTGAAAGGGACGGCCCACTAGTCGGCTATATTGGATTCTTCTTCCGACCCGGCCCACAACCAAGCATTGAAACGTCCTGATGAAGCCAAGTGGCAGAGTGGGGCCCACGCACATGGGAAGGGTTGAAACCGTTATGCACGAGGTGGGCCCCGTGTGATTTGAATAATCATCAGACGGTCGGTTGGATACGGTAGAGTACACAGACCGACGGTACGGAAGATGACTGCGGCAGCTTCGTGCTTTGTGCATCGGTTGCATCGTCGTACGTGCTTTGGACTTTCAGGTTTCGTCGGACAAGTGGAACCATGCGTTGATTGTCGTTTAACTCTAACGCATTTGACTAATTAAACGAGGGACACAGTATTTTATAATTTCGAGATTGGGGAAACAAATAAAAATAGATTATAGAACAAATTCATATGGGCAAAATCGTAAAAATAAAGATGGTTATGAGCATATTATATAATTATTATTATTCAAATAGCACAGTAGTATCCCCTTGTCTTTCTATCTAAAGTTTTCAACTGCTATATATATATATATATATATATGGACATTCATCTATTTTATTAAAAAGAACTGACAACAAAACGTTATGCAATTGAAAATTTAAAAGAAATGATGAAGACACACCTCATTTAATTTTGCACACATTTGTTCAATCATATCCGTTGTTGTGATTTGATTTATCCTATGTAAATCACCTCCTTGAAAGTATTTGCCCTTTGTTATATTTCCCTTCACTCCTTGTGGAGTTAAGATGTGTAAGTCACAATAAGTTACTAATAAACTAATGGAAAAAAAAAAAAGATTGCACATTTCATATGGCGAAATAATTGATAATTAAGCATTTGTGACCATTGAACTTGATGCATGAATTTGCAAATTTAGATACTATAAAAGATCAATTGAAAATCTATAAACGCACTAGCAGAAATAACGTTTACTAACCCAACATTGGGTTTCCTTCTTTTCCATTTTATGAGTATTTTATTCTCATGCAAAAAACAAACTACTTTATTCTCACGCTCCAAAATTGCAAAAAACTATTTTTAGGGTTTAAGGGGGATGACTCACATCGACAAGGAACCAACTCCTTTTCTGTGTTGTTCTTTTAGGTGGTGCCGAACCGCGAGGTTAGGGTTAGTTATATTACCTAAAACAAGACATATCCGTTTCAAAGAATCCAAGAGGAAGGTTATGGGATTGCCATTTAGTACCACAGTTTAGTAGGATTCCTCTTTACTTATAAGTGAAATGTCTTAAGTTCAATTCTTGCCATATATGAATTTGAACCACATTATTGTGAGGCTAAGCCTACCATTTTCTCTTTAGTATAAGATAATATCATTTGTTCAACCAAAATAAATAGTTCTGGGGTTGGTCTCACAAGTTATTGGTAAATTTAGATCGTGTAACGTAGGCTGTACCCGCAAGGTACTGCGAGTCTGACTTGGTCTTCTTACGTCTTCTAGGAGTGTGCCATTTTTTTCCAAGGGGAGCGTACTTGTCCAATTCAGCAGCTTCTTGGAAACCAACGTGTTGAATTGGGAGCTCAGATTTTGATTTTCTGATCTAAACATTTCTATGTATGTACTCGGAACATGAGAGGTATACAACATTTCATAATATAAGTAGATATAACACATGACGTACCAGTTCATGCATGCTCGAAGTACACTAAAAATCTCTTATTAATTTCAGGTGTAGTTTCATTAATTGCCTCGTAACATTCACTATTTTTAACCGTTTGATTTGATTCCACAACTGTTAGATTTTCAATTTTAATCTCAATCTTTCACTTTTCGTATTTCTCAGTATTACGTACTATTAAGAAAAATTGATAGAGTTTCGTTTTCCTTTTTTTAGTCAATTGCTCTGATCTAAATTGAAAAGTATGGAATAGTAGGTTTAAGGGTCGTCTCTTTGATAAGTTGACGCATCTAACTGCCCAATACAAACCCTACACTTAAGGGTCAAGGGTTTTCCTCACGCGTTGGCTTAGCTGATGATCGACTATCGTTGGATATGAATGGATTCTCGTTCTACTTACACAGCTTGTTCAAAGAATTAATACATCATAGATTTTTTTTTTTGAGTTAAACGATATATTTTACACTAAAAGGAGGAGAGAGTTCAGCTAAACCACACAATGAGCAATTTAATTTGGTATCGAAATCACCATCCACGAGTTTCGAACCTAAGATCGTAGTACTGAATGACATCATTGTTTTATTAATTCTTTTCTTGTAACACATATACGTGCAAGTGTTTTTTATGTAGGTAAGTAATATCATGTGTTTGTGTGATTGTAATAAACAAAAACATATCTTTTCTTAAGTATCTGTTTAACAAGAAATAATACGTTTATTCCGAAGGTTACATTTGTAGACGACATTGTGGGATGGGTTGACAATTAAGACAATGCCATGTAATGTGGTTTAACAGTGTGATTAATGATTATTAGAGAGTAAACCTATGAGACTTTCACGTCCAAGCTTTCTCACACACGCAAATAAAGTTTACATTCTCAGACGCCAATTACATGGGTGTATGTTGACCTTAGAACAAAAGGAGTTGACACAAGTATAAGTATCTGTATAGTATAGCTATATGTATATATATATTTACTTTTTAAGGATTCATACTTTGCAAGAATTAATGGTAAAATATTGTGTAAAAATTAAGTATGTGATATGTGAGAAGAAAACTTCTTTCTAATAACAAATAATAAAGTAAAGCATCTCACTAGAATGGATAAATTACACATAACTTAGTTGAAACTTTCATCATAAAATCAGCACAAGTCTTATTGAATTTAAACTAATATTTAACCAAAATATCGACGAAATATGTTGATTTTAGCCAAAATTTAAGAGTTCTTCGATATAAGGTGAAGTCTCCATTTTCTATATCGTTCTTTAATTTTTTTTATTTTTCCGATAGTTTCACAAAAATATCGACCATATCTAAGAAATTTCAAACATCATAAAACACGTACTTTCTTTGAATGATTACATTCTCATTTCTCTCATTCATCTTGTATAAAACTCGTAGTTCTGTTAAATTAGCTGACCAAAATATGTCAACAACGAAGAAAAGGAGGAACTACTTATTCAAATTAATGTGGGGGAGTCTCATGATAATTAATCTAATTAAGACTGATAACAAACTTAAACCATAAGAGTAAGATGGGCAAAGCCATGTGATGCAAACTACAATGATCATTTCCAATTCCAACTTTTTTCAAGGAAATTCAAGTCCTTCCCCGCTTGCACTTGCTCTCCTCCTTCCCTTCGTACAGATTTGACTTCGTAATATTCTCCTCGTTTGAGTCATTTTCCATATCATATTTTATGTATATATAGCCCTCTCTTCTCCTCCCAAGCACTCTTTATCTCAATCCTCACCCGCCACAACCAAAACCAGAACTCAAACACACCCACCGAACCCTCATAGATCATCACCAAGAGATCAAATTCAGCTCAATTTTGTTCACTTTGAAAGAATAGTAGCTGGTGATCGAGTCCTTGTGCGTAATTCTGCTCGCCTTATCTTTTTTTATCTTGTGTCCTCTCTTTGTTCAACATAATCATATTTTTTTGCTTCAAAAACACAATTTCAGCTACATCTCAAGCCCAAATAGTACAAATTAAGCATTTGGGTATTTTATATTTTGATGAAATACCCTAAAAGCTTGTGTAGTTGAACTGCAAAAGCCAGACCATGTCTAATATCCCCACCTTTCTCTCTGAAATCTGCTTAACCCTCTCTCGTCTCGCCATGTCCGATGCCGACCCATGGCCATTTTCTTGAAGCAAATCACTCTCTTGCGACAACCCAATTCACTTCTCAACACGAATTTCAAAACATAAAACACAGATTTTCCTCCTTTTTCCCCAGAAACAATGGCAAAATTCAGGAGATTCAAGCTCGGAAAGCGCCTTTGCCGGGTCACCCGGTGGTTCTTCGTCCGTACGACCCGACCCGAATATACCCGGCTCAACCCGGGTTCTTCCTCCTCAGCTTGCAGCTACAAACCCATGTCAAAGCTGCTCACGTGGGGCTGGAAGCTGTCCGCTGGAGCCAAATCTCTGTGCTGCAGCAAATCCGGGTCGGGTTACAAGCAGTTGGGTCAAAGCCCGGTTGAGAAAAACAAGCCTGTTACGGTTCCGAAGGGACATCTGGCTGTATACGTGGGCCAAAAGGACGGTGACTTTCAGAGAGTTTTGGTGCCCGTCATTTACTTTAACCATCCCCTGTTCGGGCAGCTTCTGAGAGAGGCTGAGGAGGAGTACGGTTATCAGCACGACGGCGGAATCACCATACCCTGCCCGATGTCGGACTTTGAGAGCGTCAAGACCCGGATCGCCGCCGGGTCGGGTCAACGGAGGCTGACGTGGAAGCGCAGCGCCACGCTTTAGGCTGATTAGTGAATAGCGATGATATGACGATAATATTCCACGAATGGATAATGATGTTTGTTAAATTTTTGTCGAGTTTTACTTTTTAGGGGTGTTTTACTTCTTTTTTTTCTTTCACTTTTTATTACTTTTTGAAGCTTTCTTTTTGTACTTTTTCTTAGATGTATATATTTACGAAAAGGGTATAATACATGTATGATTTTTTTAAAGAATAATGGTATGGACACTACATTTTAAAATCAAATTGTGTAAATTAAATGGTGTGGTTGTTGATAATTGGATTACCAATTAAGTGTTGATCAACGTGTTTATTTTTTTATTAATGACACATTATTTAGTTTGTAAATTTGGTCTCACTAGTATTATCCTCGTGAAATTGGGTTTCCTAGCCCTTTTCCAAATACACCAACTAAAATTAGCCCTCTTTCTTGACTAGTCTCTTTGGCATAAATATTTTTAAAATTGTGTCAATAATATATTAATATTGTGTCTAGAATTATTATTGTATCAATAATGAGGATATTTTTCATCAAAGGCTGATTTGGTGTAAATCCGAATCTAAAACTACATTAATAAAACTCTCTTTGTATTTAAAAAAGAAAATGGCTCTTGGGCTCCTAGAGTTCTTAGGGTTTTTCACACCGCCAGCTTTTTCGTGCTTTTTCATGATTGTTTGTACCATATTTAGGGCATCCGTATTTAGACCTCGTATAAGTACTCGGGGGACTCAAATGTAATTATGTAATAAATGAAGGGGTAAATATGTAATAAGTGAGGAGCCCTTATTCTATAAAAGGACTCCTCACTCTCCTCATTAGAGGGGGGTGAAGGTTTAGGCCATGGGAAGAGAGAAAACATTTCAGAGAGGGCAAACACAGAAAATAAGCTAGAAAGCACACTGCCTCTAGCCTTCTTGTATATTCACCATTCAGAGTGAAACAATATCAACATCAGTGTGGACGTAACCCAAACATTGGAGTGAACCACAATACATCTTGTGTTCTTTACTTTCTTGCAGATTCATGGTCGAATTTATGTTGTTCCAAGACCCCTTCGGTTTTGTGCATCAACATTTGGTGCCGTATGTGGGAAACGACACGAAAAGTTATGTCGGTTGTCTTTCATTTTTTCATCTCACCACCGTGAGACCTCATCACTGTCCACCGTGAATTTACAGAAACCGAAGAACCTAAAAAACCTCACTCTTTGGGCTTTTCTAGAAAATCTTCGTAGACTCCACTTACCACATATGGGAATGAGCAGCATGAAGGTGCATCAGTTCGCACGTGCTGCATTTGGGAGCACGAACCTTCCCTCACGCTTGGCTGCACCAAATGCTCACGCCTTCTTGCTCCCAAACTGGCTAACACCGCGGCCGTTACCTCCGATTGAGACTTCTCTCTCTTTCTCACTCTTCCAATCTCTGTCTCTTTCTGTCTCGCTCACTCGCTTGCTTCGGAACATGGACTCCACAGAGGTCAAGCAACTTGAGCGAGTCAACTCACTCCCCAACGTCAAACTGGCATTGACGAGCTGGAGCGTGAGCCTGTCCTCGGTACTCACCTCCGAGGACAACAGAAGTGCGACGAGCTCCGACAAGGTTTCGCAGATGATGACGAGCCGCTCTGGCGAGATTTTGGCGTTGTTGGTCCCGAGTTTGGTAGACCCAGCGCTCTCGACCATCGAAAAAGTGAAAGTGGCGGTTACGCGGTCCAAGTGCGTAGGGAAGAACAACAAGGGAGTGACTTGGAGTTTCACTTCGGTGATTGGGAAGAGGTGAGAGATGGAGGACGCCGTCGCTGTGATTCCGAGCTTCATGTCTCGCACGTGCGATCACGCGGGCGGTTGTACGGCGCCTGGTTCTAGATCCTCCACCGAGATCTCACCCGTTCATTTCTTCAACATCTACGACAGCCATGGCGGTAATCAGGGAGAGCTGATCCACGGCTAGAGTTGAAGAAGGGACTCGATGACTTTTCGAAGGACGACCTCGACTCTAATTTGGAGTATGAGTCGGAAACTGAGCCGAGTTCTGCTGCCAGTAACGACTATGAGCTCGCTCTTTCCAAGCTGGATTTACTTCAGCGGCTTCTTGATGGCCTTGAGAAACGTGGCATATCGAGCCTTTCCTAATTCAGAGAGTTGTTCTTGGTGCACTTGGCCACCATCCTCGTCACTGGAACTGGCACCAACCTAGCCAGGAGTCTCGGCGCTGCCATCATCTACAACAAGCAGCATGCTTGGGATGACCATAACTCTTATCAGTGGAAACCAACTGCCGGATATGGTGACGAATGAGACGGGAGAGCTCCGGCTCAATGGTCCCACGATCATGAAATGATGGAACTTTCATCATGAATGAGAAATGGCTTTTCTGAGAAAGCCATAGGAAAAGCAACGAAGAAGAAGATAAGCTTTCTCAATAATAAGTCTATTATTATTCCTTTTGTCTGCCATCTGCCAAAAGAAAAAAAAAAAACAGAAGAGAGGGATCCACTAATCTACTCCCTGAAAAACCAAGATCTTTGTTGGAGGATTGTCGTGGGAGACTCGAGTCGACACCATGAGACGCTATTGCGAGCAATTCGAGGAGATCTTGGAGGCCGTTGTCATCACTGACAAGTTTACAGCAAGATCAAAAGGCTATGGTTTTTCCCTCCAATCATCCACTCTCCGGCCCGTTCCGCTCGACCCGATTCGGAAACGGACCCCCCATTTCCCCAATGTTGCTACCAGAGCAGCCAACTCCTCCAGGCGAATCTCATTCATATCTATAAGCCCATGGGTTCCTCCACCCATGGAGGATTTCCAGCTGGCCAAACAGAGAGCAATGGAGTTCTTAGGCAGCAAAAGTGTTTTGATCGTTCTGGTAATCCTTGTATCTGCTTCTGTTCTGGTACAAAGTAAGACAGATCTTAAGGTTTGCTACAGCAAGAAAAACCTGTGCTTTCTCAAGCAGGGATACTGCCTTGCGGAATGCCCATCATCTTCACCGACAGACAAAAAGGTTTATACTTTGGCTGAGGTCTCTGCTCACAATTCCACTACTAGAGCAATGATGGAATAGAGAAGATAAAAACTTTATCCCCCAACAGCTAGACCGCTAAGGTTGATGTGAAGGGAGAAATCTCACTGTTGCCAAGTCCCAACAGTTTTTTTTTAATGATGTGATTTACTTTTCTTATCTTTTGGTGACATCTGTATAACCCCACCAGAGGGTAATCATAAATAAAGAAAGAAGGCAGTATGCCAAAAAAAAAAAAGGGCAAAATGTCGGCAAGCCCAAATAATGGGCTAGAATGTTATGTGGAGGGCGAATGCCCATATGCCTAAAACAGTCAGGCCCTATGGCTTCAAACTCCAACCTCCATTTAATGTTCACCCTTTATTATCACCAACAAGTGATCAAAAGTACGTCAAGTATTCCAAAATTATTCGACAGCCTGCCGCTTTTATCACCAACTAGGTGATTAAAAGTACGTCTTGATGATCAAAAGTACGTTTAGTACTCTAAAATTATTCGACAGCCTGCCGCTATTATCACCAACTAGGTGATCAAAAGTACATCCAGTACTCCAAAATTATTCGGCAGCCTGCCGTTATTATCACCAACCAGGTGATCAAAAGTACAACCCGTCTTCCAAAAAATCATACATGAGCATCACTCATGACAATCACCATCATATATGAGCATCACTCATGTCAATCCTATATAAACATTCATAGCATCACTCATGTCAACATTCATGAGCATTACTCATGTCAACATCCATGAGCATCACTCATGTCAATCAACATAAACATTCATGGGTATCACTCATGTCAATGAGCTTCGAAAGCTTCATTTACAAAGCTTAGCTTCGAAAGCTTCATTTACAGAGCTCTAGCTTCAAAAGCTTCATTTATAGAGCTCTAGCTTCGAAAGCTTCATTTACAAAGCTTCAGCTTTGAAAGCTTCATTTACAGAGCTCCAGCTTCGAAAGCTTCATTTACAAAATCTCCAGCTTCGAAAGCTTCATTTACAAAGCTCCGACTTCAAAGCTTCATTTACAAAAGTTCCAGCTTCAAAGCTTCACTTTCAAAGCCTCACCTATAAAACTTCACTTTCAAAGCTTCACCTACAAAGCTTCAGTGCATGGTATACAAAGACCGCCTCCGAACAACCGCTACTTCGGCCCATACATGGATTGAATTTGAAGTCTCCAGCCAACAGCCTCTATTGACTGAAAACTTGGGGGACTACACTATGTACCATATATTGGGCTTTCGCAACTGGGCCTCATGAAAAATACGTGGGGGACTTAGCCCATTATTTATGTACTGAGGAGCGAACCCTTATTCTATAAAATGGACTTCCTCACTTTCATTAGAGAGCATCCCTTATTCAGGTATTGAGGAGCGAACCCTTATTTTATAAAAGGGACTCCCTCACCTTCATTAAAGAGAGACTCTTAGCCCATAACTTATGTATTGAGGAGCGAACCCTTATTCTATAAAAGGGACTCCCTCACCTTCATTAGAAAGAGACTCTTAGCCCATCACTTATGTATTGAGGAGCGAACCCTTATTCTATAAAAGGGACTCCCTCACCTTCATTAGAGAGCATCGCCGCCAGCTGAGCAACCGCCTCGCCGCGAGCATCACTCATAACCCATCATTTATGTATTGAGAAGCGAACACTTATTCTATAAAAAGGACTCCCTCACCATCATTAGAGAGCATCGCCGCCTGCTGAGCAACCGCCTCGCTGCGAGTATCAACTCTAACCCATCATTTATGTATTGAGGAGCGAGCCCTTATTCTATAAAAAGGACTCCCTCACCTTCAACGCCACAAATCGAGCCAACTAAGGCAACATAAGCCACAAGCCGAGCAACCTCGCAACATGTGCTACTTCTAGTTGAAAATCATTTCACATTGAGCATCGCCTCATATCGAGTATCAGTTCTAGACGACATCTAGTTACTTCGGCCCACACATGGACTGAATTTCAAGTCTCCAGCCAAAAGACTCTCTTGACTGAAGACTTGGGGGACTACTGTTTGTACCATATTTAGGGCATCCGTATTTAGATCTCGTATAAATACTCAGGGGACTCAAATGTAATTATGTAATAAATGAAGGGGCAAATATGTAATAAGCGAGAAGCCCTTATTCTATAAAAGGACTCTTCACTCTCCTCATTAAAGGAGGGTGAAGATTTAGGCCATGGGAAGAGAGAAAACATCTCAGAGAGGGCAAACATAGAAAATAGGCTAGAGAGCACACTGCCTATAGCCTTCTTGTATATTCACCATTCAGAGTGAAACAATATCAACATCAGTGTGGATGTAGCCCAAACATTGGGGTGAACCACAATACATCTTGTGTTTTTTACTTTCTTGCAGATTCACGGTCGGATTTATGTTGTTCCAAGACCCCTCCGGTTTTATGCATCAACAGTGATGATCTTCAGGTTTTTTCATCAATTGAGAGCAAGTGGAAGGGTGATGAGTGGTTGAGAAAGATAGGGAGGGATAATTTTGTGTGGGATAAGTTACTAGATAACATAATAGGGCTAGTGATAATTGGGGAAAAGATAATTATGATTTTGATTAGTTTAAAAAGATGTGATAATTGGATGGTAGTGGGTCGGAATTTGAACCACAAGGTGACTTTTGATCTGATTTATCCTCTTTCCTCTGGTGGGAAGTGGTCTAAGTGGTGTTTGGCAAGGTGTTTTGTTCTGTTAGGGTTTCTAGGGTTCCTGATTAGGTTAAGTGTTATGTGCTGCGCTTTCCTTTTTTCAATTGGTTTGTATGATTGGCTGACTGTGTCTTATTGGTTTTTCTGGTTGAGTTTTTGTGGCGACTCTTTGTTTTCTATGTTCTGGAGAACTGGTTTTCTCAAGATGAAGGTTTTTAGTCGTAATCATTATTGTTTTTTCTTGGGGTATCGGTTTGGTTTAACTTCTCTTGACTTCTATTTTGTCTGGAGACGATTGGGCTTATCTAGCCCAGTTTTTTTTTATTTTTTTATTTTTATTATTGGTGCTTGCTTGCTCTGTTTGGTTTTGCGTGTTCTTGGCGTTAGGCACGCATGCGTTCTCCACAGGTTTTGGCGACTTATAGTAATTATGACCTACTTATTAGGTTTTTAGCTTCGTTGTGCATGTGTGGGTGAATGGCGCTTGTAGGCTTCAATGATTGGATTCCCCCAAAGTGCTGTTATTTATACCAACACTTGGGGATATGGCTTTTCCCACAAAACTTTCTGGTCATTTTCTCTTCCTATCTTAGTGTTCTCACCATGAAAAACTCCCAGTTTGCTGCCTCTTCTTCTAGCAATGCCCGTAAGGCCTAGAATTTGGTCGGAGGGTTATATCCCAAGTTGGGAGAACCCTTTTCCTATTCCTCAACCTGGTCAAGACCAGGTAGTTGTTGAAAAAACTATGAGTACTTTCACCATGGAGCGTGGTGTGACGAGGGCGAATACCTATCTCTGTTCTTTGATCAACGTTGAGCATATGCTTTCTAGGATCCTTATGGGGATAGTTTTTGGTTAACCTCTTAAGGCTCACTTGATTAAGTGGAAACTAGGACTGTTATGAAAGAATGAGGTGAATAGTACTTTTTACCTTGATCATTACGGCATAAAATGGTTTGTGCTTGAGTTTACTGATGAAGATGATATGAAGTTTGTCCTCAAGAATAGGCCGTGGTACGTGCGTGACCAAATCTTCCACCTGGAAAGATGGAAAACAAGCTTTAAGGATACTAATGTCATTACCAAGCTGATTGTTTGGGCGCGTTTACCTCGAGTCCTAGTGCAGTATAAGGAGGAAAAAATTATTAAGGATATTACTCAACCTATCGGGAAAGTGATTAAAGTGGATGAGGTGACTTTGGGATTAAATGGACTGTTTGTTAAGGTCTTGCTGGAAGTGGACTTGTGTTTTCCCCTCAAGTAGGTTTTTATTGTTAATCATGATGAAGATTATCCCATTGTGATTAGTTATAAAAAGATCTTTAAGTTGTGCTTCTATTGCGGACGTAGAAGGTTTGAGAGACATGTCTGTCCAGAGGTGGAAGTAGACGATGGTTACTTTATGATAAACAAGGTGTTTGAGGATGGGTCATCTGTCTACCCAGAGGATGTGAATGTGGATGAGGATGTCAAGGCTGGTCTAGGCAAGGATGTTATGCTTTGTTTTGCAAATGCGTCAGCTGTGGAGGAGGAGTTTACTGAGAATGATAAGTCGGGTCAACGAGTGGAGGATGGGGGCCCGAATGGGAGGGTTAGACTACAGTAACCCTTACGTGGAGGCGAAAAGGGGAAAAGAAAAAGTCAGGGGATATTGCTAGGGATGAGAGATCTTTTAAAGAGGTGGTTGCGAGCCTGAAGAAAAACCGGGTGGCTAGGGCATATTTGGTGCAGGATTGGAGAAGATCGGGAAAAGCTAAGGAGCATGTCAGGTAAGTGCAAGTCTCTTTAACTATCAGGTCGCTGATAACTTCAATTCTCGACTAGCTTCTAGTTTAATAAATTGTCGGGTCTTGCCTAATGGTGCTGTGTTTGATAGACTACCTAATTTAAGTCTTCTTTTTTATTCTTAATGTGATAGTGATCTTAGGTTAGGTAAAGTTAATTTTTTTGATGCAATGGTCCTTCTGAAACAAAATCAGGATATTGTTATCTCGACTGTTGGAAGTGGGGAGAATGAAGCTAGAGAGAAATCTGAGAGTTTTATTGCTGCAATGCTCGAGGTGGAAGCTACGTCTGCAAGTGCCAGGCTAACGGTGGGAATGTTGAGTCCGAGGAAAAGAATCCAAGAGGAAAAAGCCGATGAGGTTGGTCTATCTGCATACCTTGACGAAATAGATTGATGAAGAGGATTGTGTGGAACTGTAAGGGAATGGGACGGCCAGAGTTCAAGAGTAATTTTAGTTATCTTTGTGGTTTGGTTAATTTAGATTTCTTTTGTTTTGTTGAAACTAAGACTGAAGTGGATAAGGCCTCTGTTAGTTACCTTAATAGGTTTTTTGATCAGTTTTTTGGATGTAACCCCGACGGGAGGCCTAGAGGTGTTTGTTTGTGTTGGAACTCTGGTGTAATGAATATCAATGTGCTTTTTGCTTCATCTAGATATATCCATGCTTTAGTTAAAGATGTGCGCTTGAAGATTTTTTTTTGCTATTTTTGTCTATGTCTACCCCCAAAAATCTCTTCAAGAGAATATGTGGGATGAACTCTTAGGTTTTAACCCGGAAAATAATCCTTGGATGGTGTTAGGTGATTTCAATTGTATTATGAATATCTAGGAAAAGTGGGGAGGAGATCAACGTGGTAATATCTTATGATAAATTTTGTTGAATTTTTAAATAATGTTGGTCTTGTTTCCTTGCAAGCATTTGGTGTTCCTTTCACTTGGACAAATAAACACAAGGATACCACTCTTATTTTGAACGGCTTGATAGAATGGTTGCTAACTCCTATTGGCTTGAATTGCATCATAATTATCCTTTACATAATCATCCCATAATTGGTTCAGATCATAGCCCTCTTCTTCTGGACACTGTTGGATTTAGGTATAAGCAATGAAGGAAGACTTTTAAGTTTGAGGCCATGTGGAACTTGCACTCGGATTTTAAAGATTTTGTTAAGGAAGCATGGAGTTGTAGTGCAGGAATGACACCTTTGAATTACTTCAGGGGCTGTGTAGGTAAGTTTTCTTTTCTTGCGAGCAACTGGAATCGAATGGTTTTTGGTTCAATCAAAGAAAGGAAAGAAAAGACCCTAAATGAGCTAAATCGAGTTCGAGAGGAAATCATGTTCATAAGTGACACCTCAGTTGCCTCTGAGACCCTCATTGAGAAAATCAATATTGAGGCTTAAATTAAGGAGCAATTTTATCAAATTTTAAAAGAGGAAGAGGTTATGTAGACTCAGAAAGCAAAAGCCAATTGGCTTAAATTTGTAGATAAAAATACAAGATTTTTTCAATTAAGTGCCATAATTAGGAAGAGACGCAATGAAATTAATAGAGTTAGAGATAGTAATGGTTTTTGGTGGTCCAGAGGACAGGGTATGGATCAAATCTTTGTGAATGAGTTTAAGTCATGGTTTACTAGAATTCACAACTCGACCAACGACCAGTTTAGCATTGTAGCTCAAGTTATTGAGCCATGTATTTCCAATGAGAAAAATACCATGCTAACTGTTATCCCTTCAAATGATGAGATATGGAATGTTGTCAAAGGCATTGATGCGCTTAAGGCCCTAGGGCCGGGTGGCATCCATGCTAGTTTTTATCAGGAATGTTGGGAGATAGTTGAACCCTAAGTCTGCAATATGGTTAAGGACTTTTTTTTCTTCATATAATACTAGTCTTAGACTTATTAACCACACAAATATTGCTTTGATCCCAAAAGTGGAGAATCCAGATATAGTAAATAATTATCACCTAATAAGTCTTTGTAATGTTAGTTACAAGATCATCACTAAAATTTTGATTTCCAGGTTGAAGCCTCTCCTAAGATTATGTATCTCTCATAACCAAGGGGCTTTTGCGCCTGGGAGATCAATACAGGACAATATACTCATTGCTCACGAATTATTTTCTAGTTTTAACAAGAAGGGTAGGACGAGAGAGCTTGCAGTCAAGCTTGATTTGGAAAAAGCTTATGATCTTCTTAACTGGGACTACATCAGATGTGTTCTAGATAGGTTTGGTTTCTGCCATAAGTGGATCAGTTTAGTTATGGAATGCATTACCTCTACTTCTTTCTCAGTTAATATAAATGGTGAGCCCCATGGTTACTTCAATGCAAGTAAGGGTGTTAGACAAGGTGATTCTCTATCTCCTTATATTTTCATATTGTGCATGGAACCTCTAATCAGAAACTTAAATGAGTTAGCAATTACCCCAAAGTCCCATATTGGTTTACTCACCTCTCTGTTTGGATTTAGAGTGTCAAATTTAATCTTTGCAGATGATTGCCTTATTTTTGCAAAAGCAACTGTTAAGAGTGCAAGACAAAATTTGGAGATTCTAAATAGGTTTGCAAATGCCTCAAGGCAGCAAGTGAATTTTAATAAATCTTCACTTTATTTCTCTTCGAATACAAGTAATCAGACAAAAAATGAAATAGTGCATATTCTCCAAATTCAACATAAAGCTATGATTGGAAATACTTGGGAATTCATAATATTGTGCTTTAGAAAGATGTTATGAATGGCAGTGAGCTATGCAAGAGGGTTAAGCAAAAGTTGGTAGGATGGATAGCAAATACTCTCTCTAAAGCTGGTAGGCTTACCTTAATCCAAGCCAACCTGACAGGTATGCCAAATCACATAATGTCTTGCTTTAAGTGTCCTCATAAAATAACTAGTCAATTGAATAAAGATTGTAGACAGTTCTTTTGGGGAAATACTAAAAACTTGAATCCAGTGAGCTAGAAGAATGCTTGCAGACCTAAATAGGCTAGTGGCTTAGGCATCAGGAACATTGAGCATTTCAACAGGGCTTGTCTTGCTAAGGTAGGATGGAAATTCTTATTTGATAAGGAAAATTGGTGGGTTAATATAGTTAGAAGGAAATACCTAAGAGTTGATTCTTTTGAGTGCCAGAGACATTATTTCTAAGGATATGAGGTGGGTTATTGATGATGGCAAGGACGTTTTGTTCTGGACCTATAACTGGGTTTTTCCTTACCCCCTTTATCACCTTATACCAGAAAACCAGTTTTAGCGTATAGATTGGGATATTAAGGTGGCTGAGTTTATTGTTGATAGGTAGTGGGATAGGCCCAAACTAGGACATGTTATGGACGGGGACATAGTTAATAAAATATGTAGCATCCCGTTCTCTATCGCTAAATCCAAAGATATGGTGGTTTGGGGTCCAAGTAACAATGGAAGGTTCTCAGTAAAGTCTGCAACACGGATCCAAATGGAGGATTTGGGTGATTGTTGAAGCCTAGGATTTGGAAACAAGTAATCCCTCCAAAAATTAAATTGTTTGTCTGGAGTCTTGTTAAGGGGAAATTATAAATGAGAAAAAGGCTCAGCAAGTTTATCACAACTTTGGATGATAAGTGTCTGCTTTGTAATAGCTATGTGGAGGATCAAGAACACCTTGTCCTTAACTGTTCTTATGCAAGACAGGTTTGGAGCTGTTTAAGTGATGTTTCTTTACCAAATATTGATAGTAATACCACGATAAATCAATGGCTGAATGACTTAGCTCATAGTAATAAAAATACTTCGAGTAACTTAAGTAAATCTCTTGCCATTTGTTGGCAAATTTGGAATGATAGAAATGCTAGTATTTTTAGGAAGGAGAAACCTTTTCATTATAGATCTTTTGCTTGTGCCATGAATGTAGTTAATGACTATTTTAAGGAAAACCCAGACCAAACTAAGAAAGTAGGATCTATTGATGAGTATAATGTGATTAAATGGTAATGCCCAATGGCCCCATATGTTAAAATTAACTTTGATGGCTCAGTTACAAACCAGATGGCAGCAGGGGGGTTCGTGATTCGAAATTGGAAAAGTGAGCCTATTCTGGCGGGGGCAAGGAACATGGTTTCGGTGTCTATCAATGTTCCTGAAGCTCTTGCCCTCCGAGAAGCGTTAATCTGGGCAACGAGAAGAGGTTGGAATTATGTGGAAGTGGATGGTGACTCAAAGCTAGTCATTGATGCGGTTCGAGGCTTTTGTGATGTTCCTTGGAACTTAAGGTCAATCATTGAAGCCATCAGGTGGTGTGTGGGCTTTTCTCATGATATAAAATGGAGGCACATTTTCAAGAAAGCAAATTTTGTTGTGGATGCCATCACGTCGGTGGGGTTCAAGAAAAAGGAACTTTGTATTTGGGATGCCTGTATCCCAACGGAGGCTAACATGGCTTTTATATTTGACTGTAATGGCTCTAGGTGTATAAGGGGTTTTTCTCTTTAATGCAGTCCTTTTCTATCAAAAAAAAAATCGAAGGCTAGTGGAGATTATATTTTGAAAAATGAGCTATTTTAGATTGGTGGGTTTTTAAAAGGGCTACTAAGCCCAATTTCCCCTTCGTTTTTTTTTTCTTTCCTCTAGTGGGTTGCCTTGTGTGGTTGGAAATGTTTATGAAATGAAAACCGTGATTATTTTGGGGTTTTTGATGTGGAATGCAACAAATGTTGGTAAAAAGTGATTAGGATGGCAAGACTTTTGACAATTTCAATATTATTGTGCGCGTGTGTGATATTTTATTTTTATTTTTGGGTGGGGGTGGGTTGTTGGTTGTTATTTAGGGTTTTGAGGGATTTTAAATTTTTTGTTTTATAAACAATAAAGGTAATATGTTAAATTGTTAAATACCAAGTGGGAAAGTGAATATGTGGAAATCGAACATGCACTAAGGTGCATAGGCACTTATTTACTTTCTGCTACTGCAGCAAAGCAACTTCTACTCCAAGGAATTTTAATTTGGAAAATGTTGTTTGGGTGATTAATTGGAAACGTATGAGAGTAGGAGAAAGAGATGGTGCTTTTCTGATTGATATTAACCTGATTGGAAACGTGGTGCTTATGAATAATTGATGAAGTCCAACTAGATGACTTAAATAGAACTATGCCACTGAAATTGTAATAAAGTAGGTAATGAGATATTTTAGTTCTCATACCAACGATATTGCAGAGGAGGAGTTGAACATATGAGTTTAGGAACATGAATAAATGTTCTTAATCACTTAAATTATAAATCTTGTGCAATAGAATACGAGTTTCACCTTTTATCTCAGTTGCCATTTAAGCTAAATATTTTATTGAATTGAGTTTGAGAGATTCAAATTTTCGGAGATTTAGAAGAAAGATGAAGGAATTATTAAGTTTCAAATAATGACATAACTTGAGAGATGAGAGTGGATTAAATTACTTGTTATGAGACTACTTAATATTACGATCTAGTGATAATCTTCTTTACTTGTAAGTAAAAGGTCTTAGGCTCGACTCTCACCAAAAGCGAAGTTGAACCATATTACTATGGCAAGCCCTTTGTAAGACTTAGTCCATTCCCATACTTCCTTACTGTAAATACTATCGTTTGTTAAAAAAAAAAATACTTGTTATGAGAAATTGTCAAAGCTTTTTTATTCGACTTTCACATGTCACAAGTTTCCTATTTTATGCAAATATTGTCTATACAATGCGGTGATTCCTAATTTCTTGTTACAAATAAGTTTGGTTATTGGTTTAGGGCTTTTCTAATCTTCAATGCAGAATATATTTTGTGGGGGATTCAATGTTAGAGAATCCAATTTTTCCTAAAAAGTTTATTGGTCGGTTGCAATATATATATTTTTTCCAGGGATGTGCTATCCACACATCCCTTTTTACTTTTCACACAACTTTTATTAATTTATGTCATTTGATCTTATTCAATTCATCCGATCCGACGGCCGAAAATTAAAAGGATATGTGAGAAGTAAAAAATAGTGTGTAGATATCACACCCCTTTTTCCAAATAAATATCTTTATTTGGTACCATAAGTTTATTACTCGGCCATGGAGGTGGGCATAGTGGAGAATCTGAAATTAGAATCACTTGATGGAGGCAGTTTCCCACCTCCACAGCTCCACCATGCATTTACATTGCTCTTTTTATTCCTCATCATTATGGTCAATACATTTATGCACTTTTCTAGACTCTTTACTGATATTGCTGAAATTTTGAGCCACATAGTGGAGAGGAGAAAGACAAACATGCCGTCTTGGGGTTCCACCGTGTCATTCTAAGTAATACAATGTTTTATGAAAATGTTAAAACACATGACACCAAGATAAAGTCATTATGGAAAACAAAGGATGTAGGTTAGTCATCCCCCCATACATTGTCGACGTTTTTGAAAGATGGGCCAAATGGTTTAACATCAATATTGTTGGCAACTTAACCACATGTAGCCCCGAAAGTGTAAAATTTTATCTTAAAAGACGTCAATGTAATTAGGAATGAAACTATTTGTATATAGAACATTTGCAACATATGTAGAGGTCCCAGAAGGCTGGCACGCACTACATGCAGACTATGAAGCACTTGAATGCAGGCACCTACAAAGTTCCAAGTCTATAGTGTTTTGTATCCCATTTGCAACTTATATGGATCATGAATATGTGGAATTTTTCTTTTCTAAGAAGACATTCAGATGGTGTGTTTGCTGGAGGAACGACTAAACAATTTTCGTCATCCATTATTGTCTTGGGACTAAAGAGGCCTAAACATGACTTGGTTATACTACTTTCTTATAGTTACTGCTCAAAAAATCTCTGCCTAAGTGGTAAGCAGCTGGCCACCGTCCTCTAGGCATTTGAAAATTAAGAAAGTATGCCTAGACCCGCTTAGGCATTCACCTAGCCCGCCTAGGCAACCGCCTAGACCATGACTCTCACTTGACAGAAAACTGACAACCTTCATTTTGCATTTTAATTTTTTACTAAAATGTAAGAGACTTGTTAAATACTTGGATTAACAATCGTTAAATATTTGTTCTTCATGTTTTCAATAATTCTAATACTTTATAATTTATATATTATTTTATTTTTTCAATTTATCTATCCCAATATAATTATATGTGTGGATTTAAGTATAAATATACACTTATTTATTTGATATATTACCTAAATCTGCATACTCCGCCTAAGCCCCACCTAGCCAGTTGCCTAGGCGATAGACCTCAGTCCACCACCTGATTAAAATCTAACGTCTTTTAGAATCTTCCCTACAATCCTACTATGTGATGTTTAAATTAAATGAACCGAATTAGTTAGCTAGTCTTTGTTTTTAGGCCTTGACCCATGTAATTGTCACTTGACCAGGTATGTGATTTGTTTAACCACTTGAAACCCACTTTTTGGTAAATCCTTAAATTTATATGGCTAAAGATGCGGTTAAATTAACTCCTCATGCCCTCTCCAACAAAATCGCGACATAATTTATGAGGAATTGACCACAAACTAAAACATGAAAATAACCTCAAAAACCCAACAAACCGTTATGTTAGTTAAAATCGGAATACAAAATGTGAGAGGAGAGGACACAAAACAAAGAGAGAGAGACCAAGAAAAAACATTTGATTAAACGATGACTGCATTGGAAAGATCATCCATGTCATTTAGGAGGCAAGGCTCCTCCGGCCGCATTTGGGAGGATAGGCTTCCGGTGTTCGATCAAAAACCTTCTCGCGCTTCCTTCTCCGGCTGCAGAAGTGACTTCGAACACCACCCAAATTTCGACCGAAAATTTCAGGAAAGAGAGTTCGTGGATCATACACATTACCCACATGCCAATGAAGCTTCACCTAATTCTAAGCAAGAAGGGAAGGTGGTTCAGAGATGTTTTCTTTCTTCCTTCTTTGGACGATGCATGGGATCCCCTACTGCAGCCTAAGCTAGCTAACCCCTTAATTAGTTTTTATAGGTATAATCTTCCGATGTTCATCGTTAAATTACGTAAGTTTAAAATTTTATTTCGATTATATATTTTAGTCAGTTTTGTGATTATTCCTTCATTATACATATGCTGTTATTATATGATGAATTTTCCAAATTTCCATTTTTTTATTTGTACAAGACTCATTCCTCGACATCCCATGCATATATACTCATTACTGGATTAAAATGATTTTTTTTCTTTCTTCAAATCGAGAAAGATTAGTTGAGATTAGCTCTTTGACAATGGTAGCGTGCGAGACACCCACCCTCTTTCAAGGTGTTGAGGACCATTACACATAAGCCCCTGGCCCGTTCCCTCTCCACCATATTGATAATAAAGGAAAGTAAATGAAAAAGATAATTGCAGGGGACTATGCGAAGACCCACAAAATCAAAGATGATCAACGAAAATAGTAATAAGGACAAAACGAAATGTCACGAGCATAAGCAGAGACTACAAAATCTAGGAGTAATAAGCATAACTATCTACCTCAAAAGAAGCTAAAACATTTGCAACCTGATTTCATTATTTGTAAATATGTGTACACATAAATCACATTTGATGAAGTTGTCAGAGACAATTCTTTCAATCCACCATAAGAAACAATAGGACTACTACATTAGGAGGCTTAAAAAGATAGTGAAAAACCAACATGGAGTGGGTACGATTGAAATGAGCAATCAAATACATGAGCAATGAGCATACCCATATTTCTTGTTAATACTATGTAGAACTAGATGAGACCCAGAAATAAATGATATACGAAATATGAAATAACATGTCGCAAAGTTGGGGTAACTAATAGTTTTTAACCTACAACTTAGGTGTTCTATAACTGTCAGTGAATAAGTAGGTGTTGTATCAAAGATGTTCTATTGAAGATGTCCTATCATTGTAAGTAGACAATTTATGGAATGTAAATGCCTATCAGTGTAAGCATATAAATAGGTGTTCTATCTGAAAATACAGGTTCGGATAAAAAATACTTTTAACATTAATTAATGAAAATGTTACATAGATTTTTATTAGGCCCTCTATCTGAAAATACAAGTTTGGACAAAAATGAGGTCGTATGAGGACCATTTTATTTAAGACCATTAGATTAATCCAAGAGAAGATAGGGTATGAAATAAATCGTTTGTTCATAAAATTGTTTCACTGAATCAATTATATCCCGCTTCCTGAAGCTAGTAAATCGTATGATGGTGGTCTGGGAGAAGCTGAATGCCAGACTTCCACCCAGCCGTATGTATTTCCTGCATCATTTATTTATTTCAATTTTCTTAAAACAGCCAGCAACCCTTTTTTTTTGTTTGATAAAACAACCAGCAACAGCAACCCACCAACTCATTTAAGTATCTGTCAATAGGGACAGTTAAATTAGTCGTTTAACTCGTATAATTCAATTAAGATAGGAAGTCGCAGCTGTATAAGTACCGCCCGACGTCCCGTCGCAGAGCTTCGCCGGAGTTCATGTGGCATTTGAATTGCAGTCGCACGAGCCCTCGATCAGCCCACCAACTCTAATATCTCGAACTCTAGTTCGCTTGCTAGATTTAGTGACGGGGAGAGAAAGTGAAAGTGAAGAAGAAGAGGACCAAGGATGGGATCGCCTGAAACTTGGCCAAATAAGAGAGGTCATGGACATTCAAAATCGCTGGAAAACAGGCCAAGATCACAAACGCAAAAGTCAGTCAGGATCGAGTTCTGGTGATTGGGCCTTTCTTCAAATGCCAGCGTTGTTGGAAACGTTCATGCTAAACTAAAAAAAATTACAGCTAGCTTTTTCGGAGATGCTCTAACAATATAATGGGTCTGGGTCTGCAAAGTATAGAAACAATTCATCCATGAATAGGGACAAACTCATCATACCAAAAATGCCCGACAAGAAAAAATCATAGCACAAAATAAAATTTGGCTAGTCGGCCGAAAAATCAATAGACTTAATTTGAATTATTTTCATGAATGATAGATAATCAATATGTAAATGCGTATGCAGTAATTGTTGACAGTCATTATGTAAAAGATTAAAAGATGGATTGAAGTCATTATGCGGATGATGGATATAAAGTCATTATGTTGAGTTTTTGTGTGTTATTGGCTCCTACCGTGTCTACTTTGTTGTTTCTAGTAGCATCGCTAATGGTTGAGCTTCAACTCATTGGGTCAGCCAATGGGTTGAAGCCCAACCCAACCTGCCCAATGCCACCCCTACGACGTAATGCCAAAACAACAACAAACGAAAGCACACATTTTGAAAGGAAAATGGTATTATCATAATTTCCTTACAATAGCGTTATCACTAGCAGGAACCGTCATCCAACGATCATCACATTACATGGTGAACGATCATCAAATTTTCATCACGTAATCCATGCAACTGAATTCTAAACATATATAACTAAAGTGTAAATCTTGAAGTTCATGCATGAAAGAAATTAAGAGCTTCAGTTAACTTACCAAACAATAGATGGATAAACTGTAGTAAAGATCAAAATCAGCAATTTAAGCAAAAGAAAATTTGAAGGATTGAAATTGGTGGTGCTCACAGGTCATTTGGCTTTGGCAGCCTCCAATTCTTCCCTGACCTTATCAAACATGGAAAGCATCAAAGAACGCATGTTGGCAATCTCTACAAGTGCGTCAAGTGCAGATTCAAATGAGAGTTGTGCTGCCCGTAGCTTCGGCGAAACCAAACCACCAAACATCAACAGTGACTTAGTCCGCTCCTTCTGAAGTTGATGTTGGTGATCAGTTTCAGCTTTAAGTGGGGGTGGAGATCCATCCTTATCCTTTCGTTGTCGTATCTGTGGACTCATATTCATAAGTGGAGCTCCATTGTCATTGTCGGAGGATGCCCATTTGCGCAATGTAAAATGATGAATTTGCTCTGTTTCAGTATCAGATTGCTGGGTTACTTGCAGAAATGTACTTGCATTGTGGGATTTCAGGTCCAACAAAGCACTGCTCACGCGTGACTCGCCCATAGAATGTCGAGCACTTGCTAATTGCAACCACCCCTGTTAGTGTTATCCCTATTCTATGTTAGTATAACAATTTAAATTAAAAGTATACAAATAAAAATAGTATGATTTAAGCTAATTTTACCTGCCGGAGTGTCCAGGACAGTGAATCCAATAGGGTTAAATACCCGTCTATTGAATCCAGGAATTGCAATGAATTTTCATTCAATTCAGAGAATGCAATTTTATCTCGTCCTTCCAAGCTCGGTGATTTAGGGTCTTCTTCCAAGCTGAGTGATTTAGGGTTTTCTTCCAAGCGGAGTGATTTAGGGTCTTCTTTCAAGCTCTGGGATTTAGAGTCTCCTTCTTCCACGTTCTGTGATTTAGAGTCTTCTTTCAAACTCTGTGATTTAGGGTCTCCTTTTTCCAAGCTCTGTAATTTATGTTCTTTCAAGCTCTGTGGTGTAGGGTCTTCTTCTAAGCTCTGTGACATGGAGCCTTCTTTCAAGCTCGGGGCTTTATTGGCTTGTTCTTCCAAGCTTTGTGATTTTGGGTTGTCTTCTTCCAAGTTCTGCAATTTAGGTTCTTCTTCCATTGAGAACTGGGGATTCAATATGAAAACCCCTCACTTTTTTCAGTCATAAGCCATCACTGTCACTGAGCTTTCTGAACAATTCGGTCATTTAGTCAGTGACATTACTAAAATTCAACTCGCCACAACTAAATTCATTTATGTTTTATATTTTTGGGCCAAAGATACTTTCCTAAAAAACAAAACAAAACAAACTGATAAGGCTTACAACTAGTTTAGATAAACAAATCTAACACCAATGACTACAACAACAACAACAACAACAAAGCCTTTTCCCACTAAGTGGGGTCGGCTATATGAATCCTAGAACGCCATTGCGCTCGGTTTTGTGTCATGTCCTCCGTTAGATCCAAGTACTCTAAGTCTTTTCTTAGAGTCTCTTCCAAAGTTTTCCTAGGTCTTCCTCTACCCCTTCGGCCCTGAACCTCTGTCCCGTAGTCACATCTTCGAACCGGAGCGTCAGTCGGCCTTCTTTGCACATGTCCAAATCACCAGAGCCGATTTTCTCTCATCTTTCCTACAATTTCGGCTACTCCTACTGTACCTCGGATATCCTCATTCCCAATCTTATCCTTTCTCGTGTGCCCACACATCCCACGAAGCATCCTCATCTCCGCTACACCCATTTTGTGTACGTGTTGATGCTTCACCACCCAACATTCTCTGTGCCATACAACATCGCTGGCCTTTATTGCCGTCCTATAAAATTTTCCCTTGAGCTTCAGTGGCCTACGACGGTCACACAACACGCCGGATGCACTCTTTCCATCCAGCTCGTATTCTATGGTTGAGATCTCCATCTAATTCTCCGTTCTCTTGCAAGATAGATCATAGGTAACGAAAACGGTCGCTTTTTGTGATCTTCGCTAGATTGCTCCGGTCATTAGTGTGGATAAGTATATAAATGGATAGAGATAGGAAAGCAAACACAAGATGTACGTGGTTCACCCAGATTGGCTACGTCCACGGAATAGAAGAGTTCTCATTAATTGTGAAGGGTTTACACAAGTACATAGGTTCAAGCTTTCCTTTAGTGAGTACGAGTGAATGATTTAGTACAAATGACATTAGGAAATATTGTGGGAGAATGATCTCGTAATCACGAAACTTCTAAGTATCGGAGTGTGGTGTCGTCTTGACTTGCCTTATCTGTCTCATAGGTAGATGTGGCATCTTCTCTGGAAGTACTCTTCCTCCATCCAGGGGTGGTATCTTTAACTGGTGGAGATGCACAAGGTAATGTATCAATTTCACTTGAAGCTTACTTGTAGTTTCAGGCTTGGTCAAGCGCGATACAAACCATGTAGTAGGAGTCCCCCAAGTCGCCGAGCTAGGGGGTCTGCTGAAAGAGGTGACAGACAAGGTAAGCAATCAGAGCTCCGACTGATTGTTCACCTTCTCCCCATCTTGCAGCAGCATGAAGGATAAAGAGAAGAAAAATGAGAAGAGATGATATGAGATACTTTTGCTTTTGAAGAAGTAACTTTCCACAGGCTTATTCTTGAACTGAGCTGGAGGGTTTTCTGGTTTCCTCCAGAGTATAAGGCCGACTGAAGAATTTGAGGGTCAAAACAAGTCCATCAAATCTAGAGTACGTTCCACCCTGCTGATATGGGATACTTTTGCTTTTGACAGAGTAATGGATGTATCGGCACGTGTGCTGTTACGCTTGTCTCCACATGCTTCCTTGTATCCTTCGCACTTGCCCTATCTGTTCCTCAAGCAGATGCGGAATCTTCCCTGGAAACATAAGATGTTGAAGATGAGTACTCGAGAGCAATGCCAGGTAAGTAATCAGGTAAGGGGTTCCAGGCAGTCAGTTCCTGGCTGGAAGCTTGATTCCAAGTGCTGACTGATTGCTCTCTTTCTCCTTGTCTTGCAGGTAAAAACAAGGCCAAAAGAAAAGACAGGGAAAAAGCATGATATGGGATACTCTTGCTTTTAACCCTGATGATATGAGATATTCTTGCTCTAGTATAGCTTGTTTGCAGAGGTATTATCGGGGGGAAAGAAAGCTGAATATTTCGAAAGGCTTCGTTGGGAGTGCCCTCTCAGATATGATGAAGGGTTGAGCATTTTTGCAGGTCTGCCTGTCCGTTGGGGATGGAGGTCGACATATATAGGAGTCTCCCTAACAACAAGTAGTAATGCTATTCCTTTACCCTGCTTGGTCATAGCACGGTAGTGGGAGCTGCCAGTTTCACATGTTTTAACTCTGTCAGAGCACTTTGAAAAAGTGGTCTGTGGTATCTGGCTCTCGAGATTCGGAGAACGATGCCTCTTCGATTTTTGAGAAAGCAATCATGCTGGGGGTCTGACTCTCGAGATTCGGAGAGCAGTGTCTCTTCGATTTTTGAGGAAGTAATCATGTTGGGAGTCTGGCTCTCGAGATTCGGAGGGCGGTGCCTCTTCGATTTTGGAGCAAGCAATCTTGTTGGGAGTGTTGTCTCGAATGTGAGTAAAGGTTGGACATGTTTGCTAGTCTACCTTGCCACGAAGCACAAAGGTTGACACACAGGGACTTTCCAATTATCCAGCAATGGTACTGTTCCTTTACCCTCTCTTCGATTTTGAGAAAGTAGTCATGTTGGGAGTCTGGCTCTCGAGATTCGGAGGACGGTGCCTCTTCGATTTTGGAGCAAGCAATCTTGTTGGGAGTGTTTTCTCGAATGTGAGTAAAGGTTGGGCATGTTTGCTAGTCTACCTTGCCACGAAGCACAGAGGTTGACACACAGGGACTTTCCAATTATCCAGCAGTGGTACTGTTCCTTTACCCTTGTGGGTAATAATATGGTAGCTAGACCTTCAAAATTTATGTGTCTAAACTTTGTTAGTGCTGTTTCTTTGCTATTCTTTTACCTTTCTTGGTCAGAGCGATGTAGTGGGAGCTGCAAGCTTCACGTGCTCAACTTTGGCAGAGAACTTTGGCAAAGTTATCTGTGGTACCCATGAGCTATTGTTGCGTGTGGGAAGTGGGTGATTGAACAGTAAGATTCATGTGCTTTCTACTTCACCAGAAGTCTTCGACAGAATGCCCATAATTTCTGCAAAGCTGAGTGTGCGTGTGACAGGTGCTGACAAGGCTAGAAAAGTAGGTGCCTCTTCGATTTCTGAGATCGGCCCTCGTGGTCTCTGAGCAGCCCAGCTTTTGAGAAAGCGAGCGCCTCTTCGATTGATTCGGAGAACGATGCCTCATCGATTTTTGAGAAAGCAATCATGCTGGGGGTCTGGCTCTCGAGATTCGGGGAGCAGTGTCTCTTCGATTTTTGAGAAAGTAATCATGTTGGGAGTCTGGCTCTCGAGATTCGGAGGGCGGTGCCTCTTCGATTTTGGAGCAAGCAATCTTGTTGGGAGTGTTTTTCTCGAATGTGAGTAAAGGTTGGGCATGTTTGCTAGTCTACCTTGCCACGAAGCACAGAGGTTGACACACAGGGACTTTCCAATTATCCAGCAATGGTACTGTTCCTTTACCCTCTCTTCGATTTTTAAGAAAGTAGTCATGTTGGGAGTCTGGCTCTCGAGATTCGGAGGACGGTGCCTCTTCGATTTTGGAGCAAGCAATCTTATTGGGAGTGTTTTCTCGAATGTGAGTAAAGGTTGGGCATGTTTGCTAGTCTACCTTGCCACGAAGCACAGAGGTTGACACACAGGGACTTTCCAATTATCCAGCAGTGGTACTGTTCCTTTACCCTTGTGGGTAATAATATGGTAGCTAGACCTTCAAAATTTATGGGTCTAAACTTTGTTAGTGCTGTTTCTTTGCTATTCTTTTACCCTTCTTGGTCAGAGCGATGTAGTGGGAGCTGCAAGCTTCACGTGCTCAACTTTGGCAGAGAACTTTGGCAAAGTTATCTGTGGTACCCATGAGCTATTGTTGCGTGTGGGAAGTGGGTGATTGAACAGTAAGATTCATGTGTTTTCTACTTCCCCAGAAGTCTTTTGACAGAATGCCCATAATTTCCGCAAAGCTGAGTGTGCGTGTGACAGGTGCTGACAAGGCTGGAAAAGTAGGTGCCTCTTCGATTTCTGAGATCGGCCCTCGTGGTCTCTAGGGAGCCCAGCTTTTGAGAAAGCGAGCGCCTCTTCGATTTCTGAGATCGGCCTTCGTGGTCTTTGAGCAGCCCAACTTTTGAGAAAGCAAACGGCTCTTCGATTTCTGAGATCAACCCTCGTGATCTCTAAGCAGCCCAGCTTTTGAGAAAGCAAACGCCTCTTCGATTTCTGAGCAGGCGCCTCTTTGATTTCTGAAGCTCCGTCGAGTGCAGATTTTTATAGGGGCTGGCATTAAGTTCCAAAGCACACTTGAATCTCCACCAGTAGAAGCTTCATTCTTGCACTTCTAAGATCTTGATTTGTCCGACCTCTTCTCTCTTCAACACCTTTGAAAATGTCTGGCCCCTCCGACCGTCGTTTTGACTTGAACCTTGTTGAAGAGGCAGCCCCGCCTTCTCCAGACAACATATGGCGCCCATCCTTCGTCTCCCCAACTGGTCCTCTTACCGTTGGGGATTCCGTGATGAAGAATGATATGACCGCTGCGGTGGTGGCCAGGAACCTTCTCACTCCCAAAGATAACAGACTACTTTCCAAACGGTCTGATGAGTTAGCTGTTAAGGATTCGCTGGCTCTCAGTGTTCAGTGTGCAGGTTCTGTGTCTAATATGGCACAACGCCTATTTGCTCGAACCCGCCAAGTTGAATCATTGGCGGCTGAAGTGATGAGTCTCAAACAGGAGATTAGAGGGCTCAAGCATGAGAATAAACAGTTGCACCGGCTCGCACATGACTATGCTACAAACATGAAAAGGAAGCTTGACCAGATGAAGGAAACTGATGGTCAGGTTTTACTTGATCATCATCAGAGATTTGTGGGTTTGTTCCAAAGGCATTTATTGCCTTCGTCTTCTGGGGCTGTACCGCGTAATGAAGCTCCAAATGATCAACCTCTGATGCCTCCTCCTTCTAGGGTTCTGTCCAGTACTGAGGCTCCAAATGATCCCCCTCCGGTGCCTTCTCTTTCTGGGGCTCTACCGACTGCTGAGACTTCTCCTAAGCAACCTTTGTGAAGGCTCCCTCTTGTGTGTTTATTTTGACTCATGTATATGTACATATTTGTAGCTTATCGGGGATATCAATAAATAAGCTTTCCTTCATTTCAACGTATTGTGTTAAATACACCAAAGCCTTCTTCGCTAAGTTCTTTGAATTTTCTTTTGTTGAAGCTTGTATGTTGAATCTTTCTGAGTGGAGCATGTAGGTTGGGGTAGTGTTCCCTTAATTTCCCGAGTGAGGAAAACTTCTTGGTTGGAGACTTGGAAAATCCAAGTCCCAAGCCCGGATAAAGGAGGAGGGGGAGGGCGTCAGGTAGTCGACAGCCGGCACTCCATGATCACGTCGAATCCTTATGAAAATGAACACCAATGACTACAGAATGTGAAAATAAAACAAACATGATATAGGAGCGCAATTCTTTCAGATAAAGATTGGAGTGAGCTAAGTGCAGCATTTGCACTAAATCATCATCAATGGTATCAATACTCTTCTCCTTTCTTCTTTCAACTACGGTCAGTAAGCACCAGCGCAAAGTCTTAGAATAAAGATAACAAACATGAGAAGCAAGAAAACGACACATATTTAGGCCAGCCATTGGAAGGAGAATTTTAGGGTCTAAGGCTTATATTTTTGGCTTTTGGCCTACCACTGGACATTGTCTTAAAGCCACTGTCATTCACATGAGAAGCTTGACTGAAGCAGACCATGGGCTTTCTATAATCCCGAAGTAAAAAATCACAAATTGACACTGAACCAATAAAATAAAAGAAACAAGATAAAAGACAAACCAAGAAGAATCATACAACAAAAATCCCCAAACGGGAATTCGAGATAAGTATCAGCTCTCCAACTTCTAAGAAGAAAAACAAAAATCATACATCCACAGCAAATCAGACCGTTTAAAAAACTAAGTGCTCCTTCAGATGTTCTATAAGCAGCCAACCGATCCGAAAAATGGAAATACTCAGAAGACAAATTCATTGTTTAATTTTGTGTGCCACCCAAAACCGATAATTTGTTGGATATCCAAATCAATCAAGCTCGAGCAAATAAAAACATAACCAGAAACTATAAGATGTTCACAGAAGACAAAGAACACATCCATGACAAACCAAATAAAAGGACTACATGGTTTCTCATTAATTTTCTTTGAATTAAGAAAGAATTACCATTCCCCAGCAAACCAAATCATTATAACCTTAATAGAAATTGAAACAGAAACTCGAGGTATCACTGTATTAAAGAACGACAAAGAAAAAAAAAGCCTAAATCTGATCCAAATTATAACGTCTAACCAGCACTCTGAATTGAAGATTTTATTTTGAAAATGGAAGCAATAAATTCAGAAATTGTCTTTCAAGACCCAAACTTCTTATTGAGATAAATAACTAAGAAATAAATGAGGATACGATATAGATATATTTTATTTAACAAATTCTGCTTATACAAATTGAAAGGGGCTTCAGTTTCTAACTACTCGAATGCTCCCAGAACGAATTCAAACACATCAAACCCTAAATAACCTGGTTCGACCAGTAACAGATCATAAAATTGACACAAAGCATATTCTATTTCATTCTAAAACACAAAAAGAAATAGTCTTTCACAACCGACCGTGTTTGCAAACGAAAACATTAACAGAGATCTAAAGAACATTACATCAAAATTTTAGCATAATTTGCATATGAAAATCCACAAAAAATAATCCATGAGAGAGGAATCACCTGAAAACAAATTGAAAGGTCCAAAACTGATAAAATAGATTGAAACAAAACGAAAAATAAAATGCAAACCATAAGGAGATTATGCAAATGTAATACTAAATACAACGCCCTCAGCTAAACAGTTGCTTAATCTAATATCTCAAAACTAGCTATATATATAGATCAACATAAAAACAGGTTAAATTGGTGCCACAATTAAAGTAGAGTTCTTCAAAATTTTCCATTACAATCGGTACCGAAACTACACAGACAAAGCTGAATTACAAGAAACTGGGGCCAAAATCTTTTAATATCACCATAACAACACGAATGGTGAACAAGCAACGATCAATTTGGAGAAATTACCTGAGATTTGGAGTTGGGTTCGGATTGGAATCGTTTGGGAGTGGCTGTGCTAAGAAGATGTAAGGGTTCGGATTGGAATCCTCAGAGATTGACCGGAAGAGAGTTGGCGCCACAGGAAAGATGAGAGAGGGAATGCTCAGAATAACGATCCAGTCTTTTTCTTTTTGGCTTATTTTTTAGAAGGGAAATTTTATTTAATCTCTTTCAACACTCAATTTAAATTTTAAATGTTAATTATCATTTTTACCTTATTGCATAATTACCATTAAGTACAAGATGAATTAAAAATAAAACTAAAATTTATCAATAAACCCACCCCCTATAATTAAACTATACATCACTCCTTGTTATTCTACGTTCATTCTAACTAAAATCCTAATAGCTCTTGTAGAGAAAAATAAGTTTTTTCTATTGATGGATGGTGATTTTGAAGTTTTAATTTCTCCAACTAAGGTATGACTCGATTTGTTGCCATGCTTGTTTGTCAATTTGTTACCGTGCTTGTTTGACAATTTGTTGTCGTGCTGGTTTGGTTGGTCTTATGGCTCTTCTTATACTTGCATCTGTAAGCACTTGGCTTTGCAGCTTTTAATGGTTGCAGCTTCTCATTAGAATTTACAATTAACTTCTTTAGCCATTTAAACGATCAATTAACTCATTGATTATAATCCAACAGATTGTAGAAACAAATTGATCAGAAAGTAAGGAAAAGATGAATTGCTTAATCTCAGATAATTAGTTCCAGAATTAGGAGTGCTTCAAATTTTTGAGAAAACAATTGATCATACAAACAATGACAACTTACATTAACAGTGGAGTTTTTCTTTTTCGAAAGAACAAAAATTTGCAGAGAGGAAAGTTGGTTTGATAAGAGAAGGTGATGGGGGCTATTTATTGTGGTGGTGTTGATAGCAACCCAAGTAACTGGTTTGGTTGAGAGAGAGAACCTATGCCTTGGTTTGGTAAAGAGAGCAAATATCTTGGTTTTGTAGCAGAAAAAACAGTAGCCATAGAAGATGCTAGAGGGGGTCGCAAAGATGCGTAATGTTTTTATTTTCAAGCTTCTTTGAAAAAAAATTATTCAAATAGAGATTTTATTTATAATTGGGTGTAAAGACAACTTTACATTTTGAATTAGATTTAAGAAGGTAGTTTAGGTAATAAATTTGGGTTTAAAGATATATTAATTCTTTAATAAAAAATAATATGGGTGTAAAGAGTATGTTGGGTGTAGAAAGATGTTACATGAGTTCAAATAAAATTTCCCTTCTTACAAAAACTTTAATTTTGTGGGTCATGGATTTAGTTAGGGGTGGTTCGGTATGGGATCCCATACCGAAACCCTTGTCCCGATTCTTAAACCGAAATTTTCAGGAATCCCAATTTCAATATCGATCCCAAACCAAATTTTCGGGAATCTCAATTTTCGGGAATTCCAAAATAGTTTCGGGATTTCGGGACAATTCGGGAATCCCGAAATGATTTTGGGCTTTTAGGCTTTTAGACTAAAAGTTGACATATTATGCTTTTGGGCCCAATCTGCCAATATGTTTCTACTAATCTGCCAATCAAATGGCAAGGCTTGTTTCTACTAATCTCTACTTAATACTAACACTTAGTTTTCATTTCCATGCAGAGACTGATGGATCAACTGCAAAATAGTGAAAGAAAACTAATAAGCTCAAAATTGTACACAAAAACCAAAATCAAGCAAAACGAAGAAGCTCAAAACTGAACATTGCAAAGTAACCAGTTAATCATGCCCGAAAAATTTGACCACAGAAACTGAGCAAGCATGCCAAGAATCAAAGCAAACCCCACAAGAGTCAATAAATGATAATTGAGCCATTTGAAGAGTACCCCGACAAGTTCTGTGCACAAATTTGACAAAGTTTCATAGTATATATATAACCAATCTGCCCACTGCCCATTTGTGCACAATAACATCTGCCTATTCAATTTCTACTACACATGCATGCAATAAAAATAAATTAAGTACCAAATCCAAAAACAAAAATAATAGTTACAATCGAGGACCAAATACACTTGTTATTACAGCGGGCAATGGAGTGGACAGTGGAGTGGTGCAGTACACTCGGATCTGAAAGTTCGTTTTAAAAGTGCTGCATTGCAAGTTGATGTCCATCAGAAACATAATAGACATTCGAAACTTTACTTAATATCCACCACATAAGTTCTTAGACATTCTTAATTCGCCACTAAACTTACTAACATAAGTTCTTAGACATCACTCATATATATTGTTCACATATTTTTACTTAAATAATGGCATATGTGCGAAGTGGTGATAGAGACTTATCTACATTATTGAAGTCGTAATATTGTTAAAGGAAACTGATAATAAATTATTTTCTCTTCTAACAAACTTCTATTTAATCATCTTTCATTGTTTTTTGTTAATTCATTCAATTCAATGACCAAAAATAATAAAAATGTGTGTGAGAGGTTAATAAGTATGTACAAATCACCTCCAAGTTTTGCAAGATAGCATAGGTACTCTAATTGATTGCATTACTAATTAATTTTGACATGAATATTGATACTCTAATTGTACAAGGACTAAGCAAAATGAATGAGAATCTAATCTGCTAAAGACTAACGCAATTTCTCCAGTTAAATATTTCAATTTCCAGAGAGCGTTAGAAAATTAAAATAATATTCTCAGCTAGTGAAAAACTTTATCAACTAAATAGAAAGCATGTGTTGAAAACTCTGTTAAAATCTCATGGCCATAATTTTTTTTTCCCTTAAAGAACTTGACTTTTAAAATATCAAATTTTTTAAGACATTTATTTGGTCCAAAAACACTGGCAATGTGATAGCGAGGATCGCAATCACAAGCACTTTACAGCCGACTGCCGAGCGGCGTATTAAAAAACTAAGCAGTTCTTTAGTTAATGGCAAGAAGATTTAACAGTTGGTCTATCCACGCACAACACAACAACATTAATTTCCAAACGCTACAACATCATTGATCTTCATCCAGCCAAAATCCCGATTACCCACGAGTTCAAAGTTCAACCAAACAGTCTTAAATCCCAAACATTAATTCATACAGAACGACATATACATCCAAACAGTCTTAAATTTATGAGTAAGAAACACGAAAGTTACGAACTTTTTTACCTGAGGTGGAGGAAGAAGAAGAAGGAAGAGGATGCCTGAGGTGGACCGTGGGTTGTGGAAGGAAAGGCCGAGGAAGAAGTGAAGTAGTGAACTCTGCAATTTATCAGGTATGGTGGTGGGCCGGTGGCTGGCTGGAATTCGTCACAGAGAGAGAGATGAGATGAAGGCTCGTCGGCTAGATGAGGGAGAGATCAGAGACGAGAGATTAGGGCTCGGCTGTTCGATTCGATAGAAACAATGGAACGAAAGTGAAGTTTGTGAAATGGTATTTGGACCTAAAAACATATGAACGGCAAAGATTAAATCCAAAACAATGAACGGTTGAAATAATTATCTTATAATTAAAAAAATAATATATATATATGTAATATTTATTTTCGGTTAGGCATGGGAATACCAAAAATTTGAGATTCAAAACCAAATCCCGTACCGAAAATATCGGTTTGGTTCGGGGATTACATACCGAAAATTTCGGGATTTTTGGGATTTTTTTTCTAGCCCTACTTGCAATTGCCCCAATCTTCAAAGATATAACTTGAAAATGTGCAGCAAACCAAGTTAGCAAAGCTCTAGGAGCTGTCTCTGTAAAAGAGTTTGAATCTGTGGTGCATCAGTGCAGCACAAGCTACAACAGCAACATTTTTTTGGCAAATTCAGAGAACCAAAGGAGTAGTGTTGGTTGTATTACAGAGGAACCTAGCACAAAGAACCAACTTCACGTGTAGAAAAGAGAGGTTTTTTGGGAGAGAAGAGAGATGCGTTTTGGAGAGAATATCATCAACGTTTTTATGGTTTAAAGGGGCAAATTTTTTTTTTTATTATTTGAATGTGCTTGAAACCAATGTAACATTCCTCATTGACTTATGCCTAATTAACAAAAATATTTCATTAATTAGGTCTAAAATAAAAGTTTACCATCGATATACGGTTCATTAGTAAATTTTTATTGACTTTTAACTAAATTTCCTTAAAATCAAATTTCTAATTGAATACACCTGAAATGTTTATACTTATTTAAAATTCTAATTGAATACACTCGGATTTCTAAGAATTTTAATAAATTATCTTAAAATCCTGATTTAATACCCCTAAATTTATTACAAGAATTAAAATCCTTCAATATTTCAATTGAATACACACCCTAGATTGAATGAAAATGGCCCCACCCACCTTCTCTAGGCACCTAAATTTGTAGAGTCAGTACCTGAGGCCATCTCCAACTGAAGGGTCCAAAGGGTCAAAGGGCTGAAAATAGCCCGAAAACCATCTCCAACTGAGGGTTAGGCCAAAGGGCTGTGGAATTTAAGAGGGCCCCACAGAATCGAAGAGGGCTGGCCAGAAAAATCGTCTTTCCTGTCGGTTACGTTTATATTATTTAATATAAATGTATTCCTGTCGGCTATTGTCACAGCCCGTCCTGAAATTTCATTTATCGTGGATGTGAAATGACGGAATTGCCCTTAAAGGTTGCTATGGTATGTGTGACATGTTTATTCGAATATTGCATACTCTCCTAAGTTCTTGGAAAATAAAGTAGTGGATTAAAATTGTATACATTTTTTTGTGGTAGGGATGTAAAAAAAATTGGATGTGGTTGTTTGGTGGACCACAACACAACAGGACACATACCCTCACCCCGTGCCCTCTTTCTCCCCTCTCTCTCTCCCCTTTCGAACTTGTACGGACAAGAGCAAAACCCCTCAAACCTTCACAATCGATGTCAAAAGGTGAGTTCCTTCATCCTGCAAACCTCTTAATCAATTGGTACATTTTTAGAACTGGAAACCCTCGAAATCACGTCGAAACCGTAACCTAGTTGATGTCAACTGTCATGCACACGTGAAATGTGGTTTTAGGGAATTCAAGCCTACAGGGAGCTTAGGCCAAGGAAGCTTAGCGTACTTAGTTTGAAGGTTTGGACGTCGGGATCGCAGGGTTCGAAGTTGGCCGGTTTTCTTGGATTTTTCCGGTGGATTCGTGTGTTTTGAGCCTAAATTATACATCGTGATCTTCATGTTTAGGGCTT